TGAACCTTTGCGTTTCAGTGAACCATAGTTCTTGCCATAAAATTCTGCCCTGTGGAAAATGAGTGATGACAACAATATGGTTATGATGAGGTACCTATTTGCTTCTCTACTCCACAACTAGTCTGAATTTCGAGTGGCTTCACTGAAAATCTGTGGTGGAACAGAGCAAGCTAGTACAGAAACAAACCCAGTTTTTTCCTTCTTTTTTCCCCCTCAAGATGTCAGATTTCCTCCCTAAAGGGGGGAAGGTTTGCAAAAAGAGAAGGCAAGAAATAAGGTATAGACTGGAGTGATTCACAGATCAAAAAGGCTACGTCTGGCTTATGGTGCAGATGGAGTCTCAGGAGTGGAGATGGGGAAGGGGTTGGTGCACACCTGTGTCTTCCTACAGCATGTGGTCTGGGCATCTGTGGCATCTGCCTCTGGTCCTGGGAGGGGACGGGCGTTCCCAGAGACTAGATTTCCAGGCAGGTGAAGGAAGGTCCCTGCAGTGTCCTGCTGTAGTCGGGACCCCGTGTGTATGTGTGTGAGGATCACACCCCCTTTTGCCAGGACATTTAATTCCAGAACTCCAAATAATGCGTTTAGACACTGACAGAAAAAGCTCATCCTCTTCAAAAAGTCAGTGAATGAACTAGGAAGGCAGATCTGAAAGAAGATACAGTTCTCTGAAAGGCTGAATAGATAGCAACCAAAAATAAGCTTTTTATGTGATAATACTAATTTAAAAAGAGAAACTGTTACCCAACAACCTTTCCAGGGCCAGGGAAACCGGTTTCATTAGTGGAGTAGTTGCAGCATATATGCGTTAAGAAAATGACATGTACGCATGTGTGATATAGCTGGGGAGCGGCGAGCTGTTTTGGATGGCTGTTAGCAGCGCAAACAATGAGGTGGTTGATGGGCTGGATCCTGGCGGGGCTGAGCGCAGGGGCAGAGCGCGTGCTCGGGTGGGAGCAGGGAGCAGTACCCACAGTCCTCCCCTGTTTTGAATCTACTGGGTGGAACTACAAAGGAAGTTTACTCATACGAGTAATGCAGTTACACTGGAGTTTGGTTTCTCATTAAATTTATGTTTTACTGAGGCATGATATTTAATTTAAGCCTCTTGAACCAAGCTCATAAATGTCTACTGCAGCAGACCAGAAATGGTGGCCCTTCCAAACTGTCAACAAGGAGTTGTCCAATCAAGTTTTTAATTATAAAGGATTGTCTGTTGTGGCTTTTAATTCCTTCTGGACTATCATCGTCCTTTAATTAAGAGAGTGGAGGTTATGATTAGTATTTTTCTATTGTGTAGCAATAAATATGTTTCTTCAGAGTGTTCTTAAGATTTTGCCTTTCTGTAAAGTTGAGGACTTTATTTTCCCTTTCTTTCTGTGATTTCTGCCAGGAGATGTTGCAGTTGCTTTAAAACAGATTTTCAGTCCTTCTTGTTTGTAATTTTAGTTTACATTTTACATCCATGTGGCAACGTTGGAGTCCAGTAAAGCTGTGTATGATGGCTGCATACCTGAAAAGACAATACATCTTAAATACCAGAAATATATGTTAATGGAAAGATCATTTACCACCCCAACTGTTTTCAGTGAACAGCTCATGTCTATCTTAAGTCTTTTAAGTTCAAAATTTAATGAGAGATTTCTAGTCAGCTTCTGTATCTCAGCTTTTGTATCTCAGCTTCCCAGAAGTCTCAAATGACTGATTGTTCTAAAAAGTCTGTACAGAATCTAACTGGAAATATGATTGAATTTTAATGTGGAAGTGGTAGAAACATAAGTCTAACACAGTAAGAAAAGTTAGGTAAAAGCTCTGATTCAGAAGGGAAAAATATTTCACTGGAATTATGCTATTGAGGTTTCTCTGAATATAATTAGAGAAAGTAAATTTTCTATGTAAACAAATTAAAAAGCTTTTGCAGGCACATCAGAGTTATTTTACATATTCAGTGTTCTTTACTGGTGGATCCAAGAGTTGTTTATAAATATTTGTTATTAAAATTTCTACATTGTCCTGGCGATGTAGATAAGTATTGCTTGTATTGTTCTACAGCAGGGGTATTATATTAAATGTCACATAGAAAATTAATTTGAGAGAGAAGGGTGAGGCTCTGTGTTGGATCTTGCTTCTCTAATCGTTGATTATATTTCCTCTGGGAAGGGAGGATGGAGCAGAAAATTTTCCCTCTGCATTTGTAGTCTTATTCTGATTTCAGCTAGATGTTAATCGGCTTTGCTGAACAAAATGTCACTTTTCTGAAGTCATAAATAGTGCTTGAAGAAACAATATGTTTTTCAAAGCATTATCTCTTTTGCTAGTGATTGAGACTACATAATGTTTTTATTTGTAGTAAGAAAAGTGTCCAAGAAAATTGTCAGTACTGCAATCTGCATACTTTAAGCCATTATAATAATTTTTTCAACCTTTAAAAATCTCCATACTTCCAACATATTTAAAACTACCAAGCTAGAAAATGATTCTTACATCTTATTAACATAGCAGCAGAACTGTAAGATATACATGAAAAAGTTTCTATATGAGAAACGTGATAGGAATGCCACAATTTCCCTGTTATAGTTGACTGCCTGAGCTTTACTGGGGGTGAGATACCATTCCATCAGCTAAAGTTACTTCAGTTCATAAATAATGCATCATCTTGTTTTATTCTAGTTTAATTGGAGCAATTTACTGGTCTCTGATCCATAAAAGCATAAAAGTGAAAAAAAAAGTGTATGTATGCAAAAATCTGAAGCAAACTCTGAAAGGCAATCTTTCGGCCAAATTAATTTAATATAAAGGACCACTTATCTCAAAACAGAGACTAACAATAAAACGGAACTATATTTCTCCAGGTCAATTTCCATGGCGGACACTGTGGAACGAGAAATACAAACCACACTTAATTTGAACAAGGACGATAAGGATAATTTATGCATCAAAGAAAATTTTACAGAAATGTGTTACATTTTTACTGCATGATAAATAATACCTGATCAAATTAATTCAGTGTTTGGCCCTAGATCCTGCTCTGTAATTCAGTTGAAAATTGCATATATAAACTCAAGAGTCTGATTCAGTTTAGATTGGTTTGTCTGTCTTGTTTCACAACAGGATGAGCAAATTCACTGTGAGCAAATTTTGAAGAAATGTTATTTTAATTATTGAACTATTGCTGATTTGAACTTCTAAATACAGTTTGCCATCTGGCAAACTCTGTCTGTCCCTGTGAATGTATTAGATACCAGTAATACACACTTTCTTCTTCATGCTTGGGAAAAGATGACTCAGAATAACAAAAGTCATGGTCCACATTTCAGACATGAGATGATCAAGAATTATTTTTTCACCTTTTCAAGTTTCCTGTTTGATCTGTAAAACTGCAGTCATGAGAAGAGAAAAGCATGAAAACGTTAGGGGGGGGAGCAGGGAGGGAAGCCGCTCAGTATTTCTGAACTGTTTGGAAGCTTTCAAGATGCAAAATGGTATTTGCAGCTTGGCAGTTTGAGGAGCTTTTTCAGAATTAAACCTTTGGAAATGTCTGCATTACTCATGCTGATAAGGAGCTGTGAGTTGACATTCTCAGCAAGTCCTTTTCCTGTGCAGGACATGCTGATGTTTTTCTGGCAAACGTAGCTAAGATTTGTGCAGGAAAAGATGTGCATTTGATCTGTATCCAGGAACAAGTAGGCGCAGGATAGAAGTCTCGACAACATTCAGTGAAATTATTCAGGAGCTTTAAGATAGCACATATTTTCACACAAGAGAAAAATATTTCAGATATCTTTATGATACTGAACCAACCTCTGTGTGTTGTTTTTTTATATTAGGATAGTTGTCCAGGTCAGGGTAAATTCGTTAAGGTCAAAGCTGACTTGCACCAGGATTTAGGTAAGGCTGGAGGAATTCTCCAGAAATGAAGTTAGCTTTAAGGTATGAAATAAAGCGTGAGGTTGGATTGTCTGGCATGCAAATTTTCTCTCTCTCTTGAGAAGCTTACTAATTGTGAGACGGCAAATCTAGTGATGTAAACATTATTCACCGTTGAAGTGAAATATTATAACGGAAGGAAGGAATTCTGAAAACTAGTAACAAATATTAAGACTTCTTGTACCCTCTGTCAAGAGGCATAGGAACAGGAAGGTAGTTCTTCCGTCATTCAGGATGTGATTAATAATGTCTCATTATTTCATTCAGGAACATCTAAAACAAAAGACTCCTGATCTGAAGTAGGTATCTGGCATGGCATTGAAAGCTCGGATTTTTGAATGAGTTTTTGTGTTAAGATCTGAAATCCCACTAAAATTAGATGGGAATTGAGTTCTTAACACGCTTGTTTTCTTTTGAACATCTTGATTTAAGTATATTTATTTCTCAATTTACTTAGTTTTCTGACTTTGAAGTCCCATAGAGTTTCTGGTGTCCATGCAAGATGATGTATTCAAAATCATTTATTCACAAATATGTATAAGTACTGTGCTGCAATACTCAATTTATATATTTCCAGCTTACCAAATGTAAATATGGTATGTATTTATTACTATTCATTGTTAAGGTACCTAGTCTTGGTTGAACAAGATAAACCTCAAATTACTTCATTCTAGAGTGATTTAAAAACTAATAGGTACATTTTTGTGTTCCTTTTTTCATAGTGGGGAAAGTGGTGCTGGAAAGACTGTAGCTGCTAAATATATCATGAGTTATATCTCCAAAATTTCAGGAGGTGGCCCTAAAGTACAGGTGAGTAATACTGAAGCATAAGCATAGTCTGAAGAATTGCTTCGGAGGTAGAATGACAAAGGTCTGTCTTGGCAGACGCTGGCAGCCAAGAGGCACTGTCCCGAAGTGGCATGTGGGTGAGCAGCTAGAAATATATGCAAGCCCTCAATAGCAGAGAGACAACTGGAGTGGACAGTGAGCTGCTTGCTTTGCAGAGTGCTGGGCTGACTGTGTGATGGGAAATCCACAGACACAGAATCACCTCTGCTAGTTTTGTAGCTCTCAGGCTGAATTATGTCTACAACCATTTTTTTTTTTTACGTTAATGGGTAAAAGGTACTTTAATTATTGTTCTTAACCAGATTAAGAACAACAACCAATCTCCTTTTAGTAGATGTGTGGGTTTTCTCCTCCTGTGTTGGCATTCTATTGAAAACTGAACTGGCTTTTCGGGTTTTTATTACTTCTGTTAAATCTCTGATTTGTATGCATACATCAGAGAGCCAACAACAGGAACGTCATCTTGTTTTATGAGGTTATCTAGTCAAAATTAGCGTATCTGAAAGCTAGCTGAAACAAAAAGTAGTTACTCTTGTTAATAACTACACTGTCAATGTCCGCTGTATCTATTGAAACCTGTTAAAGAAAGCTAATTGAGTGAATTAACTGTAAAAATTCCCTTTATGACGTTACAATGTCATTCATTGGCTGACAAGCAGTGGTAGGTAGGGAGTAGCTGCTTTTACTGAGCCACTCTTTTTGAGTGCTTACTTTTATTTTTTGCTTTATTGCAGTCTCTGATGTTGAGTATGTTCTTTCCGCTTAGTTTTGCGCAACAGTGATACTGGGAACATTGCAGAGAATAATTCAGTAACCAAGAGAATGATCCAGAGAAAGTACGCATTGTGTTATTTTTTGGAATAAATGTAATCATACTTTACAAGTATTTTGTTTTATTTAAGATTCCAGATTTTTTTTTCTACAAAATTAAAAGATATTCTTAGTGACCACAGAGTAACAGGTGATGAAGTTGGTAAATTGCCTTGAGAATTTCTTTTGAAATAAAATCTTCTCTCCACAACCCAGCATAAGCTGGATTTGTTCCAAAGCTAGTATCTTGTCCATACTTCCAGCTCCTAGGATCAGACAAAAAGGCAACAGTACCACGCTTTATTGCTTTCTAAGACAGTTAGATAGCAGCAGCATCGATCCCAAAACAGGCTGCTGAAGCACTTGCAGATTCCTAAATTTCATGCTGCTCTGACTTCATTGGTTGAGGTTCCAGGCTCCCAAAAAGATTTAAATGCTCATGTGTAAAAAGGAAATTGTTTAAAATCAAGATGATGAAAAAAAGAGATCAACTTATTGGCTGTGTTGCTTGGCAGAACAGTGAACAGAAGGACCAGTTTTTAGCCTTGGGCATTTTTTTCAATTTTGTAGGATTTTCTTCAAAAAATAGGAAGTAGAAACTCTGAAAAAAAAGACAGATTCTATTCCTTATCTGATGCAGTGATGCAGGCTTTCTTGCTTTTTTAATATATAATTTAAATGTTACGGCTTTCTAGAAAATCTGTAAGAACTTTAGAAATGTCTATTTCTGAACCTCTTTCTCTTGTTTCCTAAAATTTTAGCATGTTAAAGATATTATTCTACAGTCCAACCCTTTACTGGAGGCCTTTGGGAATGCAAAAACTGTACGGAACAACAACTCCAGCAGATTTGTAAGTCCCTCTACCTTAGAGATTACTTTATTCTTCCAACTTCTGTGCTGTTACAGAGACGGTATTCAGGAGTATAATATAAATTGATTACAAAGGAGCTAAACCTAAATAAAATATAAAGTGTGTATTTAAACATAAAGTATATATTGAGAGGCCTCTATTTCTTTCTGTATAGGTTGTACAGTAGTTTCTCTTACGATATGTGCTGGTCACAGTTTATTTATAAGACGTTTGGTCTGCAAGCAAATGACTTAGCAGCAAACTGGCCAATTTTCCAGATCAGTAAAATATATGCAGTAATATATGTTTGAAGAAAATTAAAAATTGATAGCTTTTATAAAAATAGATGAAACCATCCTTAGAGTTGTTTGATGGGAAATGCCTTTACTAATAGGTACAGAAAGTAGGCAGGAATTATTTTCAGTCTGTCATTGTAAAATACTCAAGATAATATTGTGAAATGACAGTTAATTAGATAACATGCTGTAGGTGCTGTTTTTAAAAGTTACACATAGGCTTTACAAATTTGTGCTTCAGCCAACCTGAGTGTTAAATGCAATTAGTGTCTCCTTTAAAGAAAAAGATAATTGCTTTACCTTGCTTCCAAGCAGAGAGCTATGTTTGCCGTCGGTCAAAAACCTGTTAAATTTACTTCCCATATAGGTAAGCTTTATGGTTTCTTTTATACTAAGCAAGAGTCTCGGCAGTGAAAAGAAGCCACTCGCTACATTTGCATGAATACATGATGTATTATTCCGAGTCTAGTGCTGTGTAAATGCAGGAAGAAAGATAGGTGATAGTTCAAGAATTTAAGCTTAGGTTACACCTTGAGGCAGCTGTGTCACTGCATCCATAAAGATTAAATATCCTAGTAACCTTCCTTGAGATACGGTACAAGTGCATGATTTCAGGTTTGTATTTACTAATCATTCAACAGCTTTAATTGTTTGTTGCAGGGGAAATACTTTGAGATCCAGTTTAGCCCAGGTGGAGAACCAGATGGAGGGAAAATCTCCAACTTCCTACTGGAAAAATCTCGAGTGGTAATGAGGAATCCTGGAGAGAGGAGTTTTCACATTTTTTACCAGGTCAGAAGTGTTTAGGTCCTTTCCAAGTTATTTAAAATAACTAGTACCAGTTTTTCTTTTTTGATTGAAAAGTTGACGGTAATCTGGCTATCCCTGAGAAGCTTGATAGCATGTTAAGACACCATCTAACATAGCCCTACCTATCTCCCTTTCAGCTCCAGAACAAAAGTACTTCAATATTTCAAAGGCCTTGCTTGGAAATTTACTGTGAACTCCCATATGGAAAATTCCAGTAGAATATATTAGACAATTAGAACTTTCCAACGGATTTCTTTTTAAACTGGCCTGTGTAATTATACCTTCTGCTCTGGAATTCCATAGCACAGCTGTGAAAGAGAGATTTAATTCTCAGTTAAGTTTTCTAGGATGATTAGGATAATATCTATTTGTTGAATCCTCCAAGCATCCCCACTTCTTTTGTGTTTCAGAAGGCTTTTCTGGCCTTCACTGGTTCCTTATCTGCTGAAGTGCCGTTGATCAAGCTCCACAAAACTAGAGTAAAGACAGTGCATTGTAAGTGACTATAAGCAGCTTCACATAAAGTGGAAGTGACAGTGCCAGGATGGAAAGCTGCGTTGGAGCTGGAATTGCTCCAGGAGCTGTGTGTTCTCCTTTTCTGAGGTGTATGAACAATTTGCGCTGTCCTGCTGATTTTTCTCTGTGGCTTGGAGAGGCTTTTTGACACAGGAGTTAAGACTACGGGGTTTTGATTATTCCCTTCTGAGGTTAGTTTGTTCAATCCTTCCTACTGCAGCGACGTCTGTGCACAACTGCCTAGACTTGACGTCGGTCTGAGGAGCCTCTCCTCTGGCATCACAGAGAGTACAGGGACCTTTTTTTAACTACTCTGCTATTTATTCTCGGCCCTGTTGGCCTAAATGAGGTGTGACTTGAGCCATGCTTCAAATCAACATAGTGTTGGAGCAGTTCAAAACTTGCTCAACATAAGCCATAATGGGCATAAAAGGATACCTGACCTCACAATTAGAGTCACAAATAATGCTTTCTTAGTATGTTCTTGCAACTCTGCTTACCTTTCTGTAGGCATGGAAAACGTGTTGATCCTGTGGATTTAGTTAATACATTGCAGATGAGAAAATGCACTTTGCCTTACCTTTTTTGAGGTAAAGATAATGGAAGGCATTCAAGTCAGTCACAGTTTTTGCTTTTTATTACATATGGAAGTTAGAACTAAACCATTCATGGGAATGGGAATCTGGTCTTTTTGGTTAAACAATTAACAAAACATAGAAAGGATACATACCTGGCACAGCGCTAGCCATATCTGTCCCAGTAATTTCAGGCTCAGTCACCTGTTTATGAGCTGCCTTGTGTCTGCTGAAGATCATTGTATGATACCTAATTTGGGGATTTTTATTCTGCAGCTAATTGAAGGGGCCTCCTCAGAACAAAAAAGCAGTCTTGGCATTACCAGTATGGACTACTATTACTATCTGAGTCTCTCTGGCTCCTACAAAGTTGATGACATCAATGACAAATCAGATTTCCAAGAAACACTGGTGAGTTTTTTACTCTGTGATTTGCATAGTGGTGGATGTATGTTCATTTCAGTTTCCATCTGTAGTGAAGACATTGGTGTATTAATGTGGGAATGAGAAATTAATGTAGATGTAACTTATTTTAATTATATTTTACCCCGAGGAGGAGGTATGTTACCTTGAACAGGTCCTGTGTTGTAGCCTAACAATCCTGAGAAGATAGATACTTTTTATAGAAAGGTGGTTTGTTTTCTGTTTGTTCTTTTTCAGAAGGGTGCAAATTTAATGAAATTTGAGTGGAGATAATCTGCAGTATGAAAAATGTGAAAATGCAAACACAGTGAGGACCTTCCATTAGAAGAAAATATAAGAGAGTGCCCCGTTTTAGCTGAAATCTTAGTGGTTGACCGATCTCTGTGCCTATTTAAAACAGTGCAAATGAAAGGCTGGAGAAAGGGACTTAGAAAAGCATAGATCGGGGATCTTTATGCAGTGCTGTTGCCAATTCATTGTGTGAACTTTATGCAAGTCATGCCAACTTGCTGGTCTCCTGTTATTAAAAATTTAGTATTAAAAATAAGCAGATTAACATATCTTCTTATTTATATATGTAGCACATCTGAAGGCCTAAAAAAAGATAATCACTACTGTTGTATTCTAGCTAATCTGGTATTCTAGAAAAAATCAGTTGAGAAGACATTCTGTAAGTTACCATGTATTCTAAACTCCAAAACCCAATGTTGTTGTGGATTATTTTCTAGTGGCTGAAATTCACAGCCTATGCCAGATAGACTATACTGCTTTTTAGAGTCATTCAGTACAGCGTCACAGTTCTTAGTCTCAGTGGATAAACTCTGTGTGTAGAAGGAATAACATCATTGTCCTTTTGAAACTTCAGTGCAGGCTGTAATGAAATTTGGTTGCCTTAGATATTTGAACTGTTTTGAAAAACTTACATTTTTAAGATCAAAATTTTAAAAGGAATTCTATAACAAGAGTCATTGAACGGATTGTTTTGGGTTTTTTTTGTTGTTTTTTTTTTTTTTACAGCATGCAATGAGTGTGATTGGGATCTTTGCAGAGGAACAGGCATTGGTGCTGCAGATAGTGGCAGGAATTCTGCACTTGGGAAACATCAGCTTCAAAGAAGTTGGCAACTATGCAGGAGTGGAGAGTGAGGAGTGTAAGTACCTCTGGAAACTGTTATAGCATTAGTAGTGGGCTGAAACCCAGATGGCATGAGGTGAACTGTAATCTCGAGCTTCTTATCCAAACACAGTGCATCATTTCTTATTGTGTGAGGCTGCTAATTTAGATTCTCTTCCAAACCCAATGCTACTGAGGCCCCTGTTTTGTCTTGTACTGACTTAATAGGAGTGCCATTTTGAATTTAAGAAGTCTTTTCCAGCCTTTGAGTATGAAATAATAGAAATTGTGAGAAATGCTTTCAAGCAAACCTGAACACTGTTCCTTTCAGTGCATCAGCACGCATTCATAAAAACATCTGCTTCTTATATGGTTTGTCTGACCTCGTTGCCACATGAAAGCAGCTACCAACTTGTGGAGTATCCTCAGTGCTCAGGCGTATACGTAGATACATCCAGAAGAGGTGCCTTGAAAACAGAAATTCAGAATTTAATTGAAATGAGGAATTTACATACTACAGTTATGTTTCCTGTCTCAAATTTCCCGACCCGTACCTTGTTATTAGGTACATCTACTGCGTAACTATTTTCTTATCCACAATGCACTGTCCTTGTGTCTTTCACCTCTTGCTGCTGTTTTATATCAGCTAGGGCCACATCAGCAAGATATTGAAAGATGAATGGATCTTGAGTTTTAAACATTTTTGTCATGATTTATGCCTTGCACCTAATGTTGATTTTATACTACCTTGATAGTTTAAGGACAGAGTGGATAAGCAGAACATATGTAGTAGCTTATGCATACTGTTCTCTTAATTCTTATTTCAGAATGGTCCTTATGTTTAGGAGAACTGCATTTGTGTAGTTTTAGGTAGGTTAAATATGAAAAAGTATCTTGTGCAGTCCACTTCCCACTCAACTGTATTAGCACTCTCCTGCTAGTTAAGAAATTGGGAAATAAAAAGTACTAATTTTTAACCTCAATTTCTTAATTTGAAAGAATAGTAACTGAACCCAGAGAAAAACATCTTTGGCATTTTACGTATCCAAAGAAAAGTATAGTATTTCTTATATGCCCTATGATTCCAAGCGAGCTACCGTGCTTCTATTTAAATCCCAGTATTAAATCTTTCAGTGAAATAAGACAGGATAACCAGATGAGAAAGGTACAGAGCGTGTTGCATCAAAAAGTAACAAAATGAAATGAGTTGAAAATAAGTTGGTAAACATGAATGTATTTCTATGAAGATCCACGTACACCATATTTCTCTTGCTCACTGGGATATAAATACAGAAGTTGTGTATGAATAAAAAAATAGCAGATAGAATGAATATAGAATTTATTCGTAAACATAATTCATTTTAAAGAAGCCAGAGAAGAAATAGCAATGTATAATACAATTCCTGCCTTATGAAGCTGAAAGCTGGGTTCATTTCTCTTTCCATTAATCCTCCCCCAGTTTACTGTTTGTCCTAACCATCTAAATAGTAAAGTGTTTATAGCCTGGGTAGCCACAAAAGATAAACCACAGTGAAAGACCACTGATAAGTCATGCTTTGCGTAAGTCTGAAATAAAAAAAAGTTTAAGAATTTGGTCAATAGTGTTCTTGTTATTATATAGCTAATTGCAGAAAAACATGCAAAGGCCATTCTTCAAGACACCAAAACCTCTAGTCTCTTACTCTGAGTCAGAATCAAATCTGTGCAGACCATTCTTGACCGACGTGTAGACAAATACTTCTTTAAAGCTGCCAGTGATTACTGCCTGTTACAGTGCTTGATTATATTAATAGTTGAAAAAAAGCGTTCTCATTATTCTAAATCTTCCACGTTGCAAAATCATGCCCAAATGCTACTTGTTCTCTCCTGGATGCAGAAAACAATTTAAACCATCCCTTTTTACGCTTGCATTGTATTGAAAGATTTGTTTTACACTTTCAGAAACCATTGAAGTGAACGTAGTCTTCAGCTTTTCTTTACAGATTGTATTTAAAACTATTCCACAGAATGCTATGGATGACTCTCTGAGGATCATTTTTTCAGTTACATGCATATCCTGCTTTATAGTAATTTCTAGACATTAATTTTATGATCCCTAACTAAGGACAATAATCAGGCATCTTAAGACGGTGAAGTTATACCAAGTAATGTTCAGCTATTCTTCCTTTACAGTAAATCATTATCACTGTGAAGGAAGAGTTTCTGAGGTATGCATGGTGGTTCTTACCATTAGACTATCTATATAAATTCTTACAGTAGTATTGGCTAAATATTTATTCTGGCATCTTTACAGTATATGTGAGCATATCTGGTCTATAATTACTTACATTCTTTTCTATTTTAAAGCATATGATGTTTGACCTTTTCATGTGCTCTTCAACCTGAGTTCTCAGTGAGTTGCCAGTGGCTCAACTTTGGTTAGTTGTGTGGTTCCTAGTACCTTGGGGCAAATTTAATCAGCTTGCTGATGGTAATAAGTCAGATTTCAGAAAGCTGGCTGTTATTTGCAGTTTTAAAAATAATTTTGAATTAATGTACTGAAGGGTTTAGTGAAATCATACTGTGACATTACAAATGTGTAAAGCACAGCTGGCTGTTGCCTTAGTGACTGTTTTGCATCCTCCTTACACCAGTAAAGTAGATCTGAAAGCAGTGGAACATGGAGGAAACACTGTTAGAGGATTATGTGGTTTAGCAGAGGTGCAATACCAACTCCAAGAGCTGCCTTTGGGAGCTATTTCCATATGCTCTCAAGCTGTTTCTCTTTTTCTGTTTCTTACGGTGTGTGATACCTGCAGCTAATATCTGCACCATGTGCTAAGAATGCAGAGTACTAGACTTGTGGCTGCTAACTGCACAGATGTATTTTTCTGCTTTACTTTTAAACAGGGGAAACCCGAATTTGCAAAATACTTCCAGAATAAGGGATTAACAAGCCAAAACCAAATAGCAAGGCAATTGAAAACTTTTTGCAATATCCTAACTTAGAAGAAGAAAGGGAAAGAATATTAGGAAGTAGATAGCATATTATGTTATTATATTTTGTGGTTATTATATTTTAAACATTTCATGTTTTTACCAAGAATTTAAAATGGTGTCAATTTTATTTAATGTGTGAGCTCTTTGTTTTATTTCCATCTCCAAGAATCATTTGTTTGAACCACATAGTTCAAACCTATGACATAAGCCAGCTTATGGGTTTGAAGGACGCAATGTACAGGAATAGCTGACTATTTTAATTCAAGGTGTTTTTTCTTAATTGAAATCCATATAAGTAAAGAGTTGAAAATGTCCTTGGGGAGCTTAGGAAAATTTTAAAGACATAAATCCATCCTCTTTTTAAGCTGCATGCTCCATGAGGTTTATTACTGTTGATTGTTATTAGAGATACAGCTAATTTTTTTTTCCTTCATTCTGTACTGGTTAGTCTGTAAGTCATAATCCAGTAACCCTGATCTTTCTTGCAGTTTTGGCTTTCCCTGCTTTTCTCCTGGGAATTAACCAGGATCGCCTAAAGGAGAAACTGACCAGCAGACAGATGGACAGCAAGTGGGGAGGCAAATCTGAGTCCATTAATGTAACGCTAAACGTGGAACAAGCCTGCTACACCAGGGATGCACTGGCCAAGGCCCTTCATTCCCGTGTTTTTGATTACTTGGTGGATGTAAGTTGGATTTGCTTGATTCTACTGAAGTATCAAAACCAAGTCCAAATACACTAGAAATGTTCCTTGCAGTGCTTTTCTTGTCTGACATTTCTTTCACCCAGTATGTTTCTTTGCCTAAATCTTAGCAGCAGCACTGACCAGTGCATGACCACAGGTATCAAATACGAGGCACTGATTATATGACAAATGCTACACTTTCTTAGAAGCAGATGAGGTGGGCTTTCAGCACAATATTTGCTCAGTCTCCTGCCACAACTGTGCTGTATGGTATTCTGACATCTCCTCCCCAGCAGCATGCGTACTTCTCTGAGTCTTACTTTCTCCTACGCATTTGAGCATTTTCAGATGAACAGAACTAGTGGGTTATGGTCCCCTGCTCTCTTACCCCACTGTCCTGCAAAGAACCCCTTCAGTATCCCAGTGTTGTGTCATCTGAGCAAATGGTCAAAATCCGTTCTCCATGCTGAAGTACTCTTGGTTCAGAATGAGACCCTAGGCTGGATTTGTGGGGTAGAAACCTTACCTTTGGCCACAGATGCTGGCTAGATGAAGCAGAAGTCTCCTCCGTGGTAGCACTGCTAGTGTCTCAGAAGTCTGCCTCGTCATGGCACCTCTGTAATTCCCACTATGTGCTTGCACTGACATTGCAAAGTAGGGGAATACAGAAATAGGTGAAAAGATTCATGGTACCATCTGCAAAATGCATCAAATATGAGACTTAAAGCTGTTCTTTTTTTGTTGGCTCCTTTTCTTTAACTGAGCCCGTTACATGAAAAGGAAAAGATTTTTTACAAACAGTAGATCGAAAGGCGCACTAACCTGGAAAACAGGATAGTATACTGTTCGGTTTCCTAGCTGTTAATGACACTTTATCAAAAAATGAAAGTAAAATACCCTATTACATATATTTGTATTCCATTCAAATGTGTTCTTTTTGAAGAAACCAAATATTTTTATATAAAGATTGAAGGATATGAATATATATATAAACCACACTTTGTTTTATGTTTTGTTTCTGCTTTGTTAGTCTATTAATAAGGCTATGGAGAAGGACCATGAAGAATATAACATTGGTGTCCTTGATATTTATGGCTTTGAAATATTCCAGGTAAGGCAATGCAATACTCAGAGTTTGAACTGATCTGACCTGGGAGAGTTTTTTTGTTATTTAGAGGGGAAAAAATCCAAAACAATAAAAACCCAAACCCTGTGGCCAGAATAAAAGCCAAGAAACTCCAACCCAGCTTCCTGGACATTGAGTTCTCACTGGTAATGTCTCACTTCATGTTTATTAAGTATTGAAGAAACTTCAAAGAAACTAGGTCATTGATCTTAAAAGAAATATCTGAGATTATAGAGAATGTCTATAAAGTCAGCAACCCATCCATCATTCACAGTGTTTCTTTGAAGCTTACTGCCAGCATAAGAACTACGAATTATTGCATATAAAGCATGAGACTAATTTTTAAATTGTTTCCTTTTCTATAGAAAAATGGTTTTGAACAGTTCTGCATCAACTTCGTTAATGAAAAGCTACAGCAGATTTTTATTGAACTGACACTGAAGGCAGAACAGGTAACCAGACATTAGTTGTTTTTGAAATCATAAATGAGCTCTTACTTTTTCAATTGGTGGAAAAAAATGAGATTTCATCATCTGCTAACAATAATATTTGCCTTGTTAAGCAAGACAAAAAAACCCCACCTTTGTTGTTGGCTAACCCTAAAACTGTAAACCACATCAGCTACAGACATTTATTCTCTAATACAGCGGTACAGAAGCAAGTCCGTCATACAGTGTACTAATGCAGTCATATGACTCTGCCCAGACTTGCTGCATATTCTGACTCATTGACAGAAATGGAAAACTGCAGCTTGGTTCCATCCCTGTGCTTTCATTGGACACAACACACAGTTAAATGGGAATACTTTCCTTAATTTTCTCCACGCCCTTTTTTTTTATATATATGAATGAAATAAGTTACGGAAACAAATGCAAAAATACTTCTGAAAGCATTTACAGTTCTCTGCTCAGAGTCTTACTGCAAAATCTCACTTTACGTGAATGTGAGCTTCTGCATGGGAGGGCAGACAGAATGTAGCTGAGACAGAAGCATTGTGTACGGTATGAGCTCAGGCCTGGCACAAACTTTAGGGCAATGTTTTCAAGAATGCACATACGCAATTGCCTTTGTATAAAAGTAACTGATCATTGCAGTCGAGCACACAAATGACCTGCTAAGTGTCTAGCTGAACTCATATGTATGCAACAGAGTGGGTCAGTTTAATCAAAACTGAGTGTGAATTTTTTCACCAGGCAGTCTCGAAATGTCTTTATGGATACAGAAATTGTGCATAGAAATAAGAAGAGCTGCGCCTCCATTTCATGGGCATTTCTAAATGTGTTGTTTTGGGGGTCTGATCCCAGTCACAGTCTTCATTTTTAAAATAGATTAGGATATGGATGCTTAGGTACACTCTCAAGATACTGTAAAAGTCACTTTGTTACTATTTGCAAAGTGCTTTGATGCACTGATGAAATACTCCTGCTCTTTTCAGTAACTAGTCAAGGGCTGTGAATGACAAAAGAACGCATGGGGAGAATAAAGAAGGATTCCAGTTCATCTCGTTGGCAGCAGAGAGCTGGATTTAACTATTATTAGGGTCATTTCTCCCACCTCCCCTCAGTATTACATTTACACAAGTCTTTCTGAACAAGAGTAGTGCAGAGTTTGTGTATATGTAGTGCATTGTAAATCTAGTGCAACAGCCACGGTGTGAAAGAGTATTGCATGTTTCTTTTTACTTAACAGGAAGAATACGTGCAAGAAGGAATTAGGTGGACACCAATAGATTACTTTAACAACAAAATAGTGTGTGACCTCATAGAGAACAAAGTGGTAAGTATTAAGAACCAACAGATGGAAAAAAACAACAAGATGTTTCTCCAAAATACTTAGGCAACTGCTTTGCTGTCAAGAACATTCATAGGAATAATGCGAATACCGTTGTTCAGCTACTGAGTCATACTAAGCCTATATATAAATCTTATATAAGATGTCTTATATGAGCTTTAAGATATATGTTATCCAAGATATTAACCAAAAAGAGAACCGTAAGATAGCATGATTGATGTGTGACTAAAAAATATAGTGATGGAAATTAAAATTTTATCCCCCTAAATTTACCATGAACTTCATGATATAACCTACTGTACATCTCTATCCCTGGGAGATGTATTTCAGTTTGGGAAAGCTACAATACCAGCTTCCTTTGAGGTACTGTTGCAAAGTAAGCAGAAACGAGTGAAGAGGAAGTATTAGGAAGTGTTGTAGATGTAAGAAATTTTGTGTCCTTCCTCCACAGAATCTTCTGCATTTTAAAGTCTTTATGTTCTGATTTGGGGTGACAAATGTTGTATTGTCCCTCATGACAGAAGTAGGTTATTTTCCAGCTAGTTCTTTGTCCTCATGTAAGCTAGAATTTTAACAGTAGCTCAAGTACTATACTGACTTGCACTGAAATGCACATCAGATTTTGCTCATCTCCGATCTTTATCAGGATAACTAGGAAGAGGATAGGATTTCTGTCACAATCTTAGATATTTAGCTCTAAGTTTCTCAAACTACAGCATGTGAGTTTAAATACTTACCTCAGACATGGGTTTATTTTTTGGTGGAATGAGAAAGCAGATTGCTTTGTGAAGGAATTAAAAACTAAAACAAATGTTAGGCTTTTGTGGTTTTGGTGTTGTTTGTTTTTTTTTTTTTTTTTTTTTTTAACAGCAATCATTGTTTTTCCCCATTATCATTACATGAAGTGGTATCTCTCCTTAAACTATTTGCACGCTTGTGTACAAATTAATCTCTACTGTGAACTCTACTGACTGGGGGGGGCGCAGAATTCTTCCTGCTGTAGTGTTTTTGTGGCAAAGATAATTTTCTGTTTGCGGGGAAAAATTGGCATCATAATTGGTTTTTTCCTCACTTCTTGCTATTTTTGTTATTCTTCTCCAATGCATTAGAATCCCCCAGGGATTATGAGCATTTTAGATGATGTGTGTGCCACCATGCATGCAGTGGGAGAAGGAGCTGACCAAACACTGCTTCAAAAACTCCAGATGCAGATTGGGACTCATGAACATTTCAACAGTTGGAACCAGGGATTTATCATTCATCATTACGCTGGAAAGGTAACGTGGAAAATCATCACCGAAATCTGCATAATGTATTTATAAAGAAAAAGAACAGTAATGAGAGGAAGGGGGAAGCCCTGTTTTGCTTTCAAATAGCCAGATTATCTCAGGAGACAGTCTCCTCCTTCCACAATGTAGAGAGCTTAGAACAAATATGCCCTAACGTATGTCCCTTACTTTGGAGAGATGCATCTGGGCCTTGCTGCTATCAAACATACTAACCAGAACTTCAAAGTAATAAATAAATGCCCCTAGTCTTAATTATAATCTTAATTGTTGGTTATAGTAGCAGTAAATTTAAAGAATTCAGATATAAAAATGCTCCTTAGGTGGTGATATACCAATAAAACTGGGAATTTAATGTACAGTTATATCTTCTTTGAGCATATTTCTCAGAGTATTCACGATTTCCCGCAGTTACAGTTAATGACAGTACACCCTTATCATGCAAAATTTTTTCTTCAGTAAAATTCAGTATTAAATTCACTTGTGTCGTATTCCATTCACTAGCTCTGTAACAGTCTTTTTCACTGAATTTTAATATAGGGATGAAATTCCTTTATGTTCGTTATGGAAGAGCTAACTAATAATGTATGCAAGAATTTAGTATTGTAGTATCTTTTAAGTTATACCAGACTAACCAAAAAGTTCAGAACAGCTACTGATGAGGACAGAATTTAAATTTTCTTTAATTATTGGGTTCTCAACTTACCACAAACAATCAATTTCCACCTTGGCCCAGGTATCTTATGATATGGATGGATTCTGCGAGAGAAATCGGGATGTTCTTTTCATGGACTTGATTGAACTCATGCAGAGCAGTGATTTGTACGTAAGCAAAACTTGCTTAAAGCTAGGAATAACGTGTTAGTTCAGATGGATGCAGAAGGCCTGACTTCTCTACTTTGCAACTTGTGAACTGATTTGTATAAAAGTGGAAATAAAAGATCACTGCAGTAGAACAGTATCAGTTGCATTATATTGACCTTCATTTTCTGCAAATGTGAATAAGTAAGGTACTGCAGTGTCAGAATCAAATCTTATGACAGCCATTTGTTTTGGCCTCAAACAAGGTGATTTGGCAGTCTCTCAGAACAGGCACTGTTTTAACATATGAAGTAATTTTTTTTGTTATGTATTTTAATTAATTGATGCTTACTTTTTAAGAAGTGCACATTCGTTTGAGTCTAGAAGTCTGGTATCCTGTCTTCCAAGGCTCACTAAAATAGCAAGAGATCTCTTATGAGGAATGAAGCTCATGGAAAATACTAATCCTAAAATAGATTTGATATAACTCCAGATTAATAGAAATAGCTATTTATATTCTGTTCAACTATCAACTTTTACAGCATATTCCTTGACATTCCTGCATTGAATTGTCTTTCTATGCCAACACTATATTATTAATTCTTTCCTAGGCCCTTTATAAAGGCTCTGTTTCCTGAAAATCTTCAAGTGGACAAGAAGGGCCGTCCTACCACTGCAGGCAGTAAAATCAAAGTATGTCTGGTTTTGCTGTGTTAGTATGTGCATATATGGGTGTATGTTTATGTATGGATACCTAAATAAATTTAAAAAGTAGTCTTTCCTGTTTTTTACTCTCCAGACATTTTTAAAGACAGACATCAGGAATATCTTGATTGCAAAGTGATGCATTCTTTCAGCTGTTAGAATCATGTTTTGCCCAGCATCACTGTTCATTAAACATTTTGTTCAGCACCATTCTACAGCAGTGAATTTTCCAAATGAGCAATTGATGGTAGTGATAATAGTACTTGCATGTGCATAATGAATGAGCCCCTTCACTCAGCCACTTGATGTCCTACAATTAACTACAGATAAGTGGTCTCTTTATACTGCAGAAATGCAGCAGGGCCTGATCCAACACCCACTGAAGTCAACAGAAATCTTTCTACTGACCATAATGTGCGTTGAATAAGGTCACAGGTGTTAGAAGGCGAGCATCTTTTTGAGACTGGTTGTAAAATATATGCTTAGATTATACACTTGCAACTTTGGAAATCCATATTTATCAACCTCTTTCTTCATATTTCACCCTGACAGTCAAGTTCACCTTGTCACTCCATATTTTTATATAATATTTTAAATGTGTTACACAGCTGGAGACAATGGTGCCTTCTATGTACTGATAAATTTTTCATGAGGTGTGTATTATCCCAAGACACTTTGGCTGTTCTGGGGAAAGACCAGTCAACTGGATCCAGTCGATTGAATCATCAGCAGATGGTTGATAATTTTTAGAATTCTCTCACAGGACTTACCCTGTTCATCTCAGATCCTTTTGTTTTCCCTCAATTTTACAGAAACAAGCAAATGACCTTGTTGGCACCCTGATGAAGTGTACACCCCATTACATCCGCTGCATCAAACCAAATGAAACAAAGAAGTCTCGAGACTGGGAGGAGAGCAGGTATGGATAAGCAGAGTAGGTGATGAGAAACAGTGCTAATAGTGAAAAAAGCCACAAAAAAAATCATAATTTGTGATCATACAGTCTACAGACAAATAGAACTAGATACTCTAAAACTTTCAGAAATGAAATCTGGCTTGACCTCTCCTAAACATTGAAGATAAGCTCTGGTCCACTTGGTCTAAATCAGTAGTTAGTGTATGCAGTTCTTAGTTTTTCTTGTATCAGTTGAATAATCATAATTTGCATAACACAATTGATATATTAAAGTTTCAGTTTTCAATGTAGAATTTGCACACCGAATGCATTATACATCAGTTCTAACTTTTGCTTTATGCTTTGAAAACAGCTTCTATTAGGTAGCTAAAAAGCCTGCAGGATGTCTGTATTTGTTTTTATTCTCAAACTTACCAAAAAGTCTCTATAGCCAAGAATGTAGGAGGTTCTTTTTTTTACTTCTTGACTTTTAAAGTGTCATTAGCCAGCTCTTTAAAGAGAAGTAACTAGAATATCGTATCAGGTGGTTATAAGTAGATGTCTAAATCATCAGTTTGGTTTATTGCATCTGTTTTAAGGCATCTTTAACTATATGATGCTTCATAACATCTTATTACCTGAAAAAGGATACTCTTCTTTTTTGTACTGAGGTAGGTGATCAGTATGGTATGTATACTATGTGAGGTCCTAATATAGATAACATTTATAAGTACTTTTGGTAGTGGTAAAAGTGCTGATAAAGCAAGTGGTTATTTTTATCACAGTGAAACAACTTGCTAAGTCTGATAAAAAGCATTCTTGACCGTATCAACATACACCAGAATACACTTCCTGCCATTTGGCATGCAGACTAGCACAATTGCATGCAGATGTAGGGCACTTACAGAAGCCACAATTGGGACTGCACTTGAAAGTGTCCTTAAGGTCTTGGCAGTAAATGTAGACCCTCTTTCTCTAGCTTTTCCACCCTGAAAATCCTATTATGCAGCACTTAATTTTCCAGTGACACTGGGGACCACAGGAGGAAAGAAAGTGATCCTGGAAAAAGTATGTCTAAAACTTTCAACTGTAAGTTGAGGGGCTTTTAAAATCAATCATTTACATATTGGAAAAGAGGCCTATTATTGTGGAAGGTGTTGCTAGGAAACCAATGAAACAAACAAACAAAAACCTAGCCCTGAGAAAAAGCCAGCTTTCAAGAAACCCCTTTTGGAGCAAAAACGGGCAAGATTTCTTCTTGTTTTCCCATAACAAGGATGACATTTGGCAAACGCAGCAGCTACTGATAATAAATAAATGCAAAAGGATTGTATGCTACCAAACTCAGACACAAATGGATGTAATACTCATAATGGTAATCCTTCATCCCTGTTTAAAAATCCTAACATTATCTCCCACATATTATACTGGGACTTCACATAGGATACACATGCTGTAGCAGTTAGTGGTGTGTCTGGGGAAGAGAAATTTATATGCATATGATAACTCAAACTTAAGGTTAATTTTGTTGTTTCATGATTTTACTGTACAAAAGTTCCATGTTGAGGGAAATACAAAACATAACTGAGTTTATGTGATATTTTGCTGACTGTTGGTTTAGGGTTTTCTTTTCTTCTGTGACCACATAATGCTGTATCATACACATGCTCCCATAGTCAATGTGAAGGGAGTAGTATATCTAATCTGCTTACTAGTAGCATGTTACTGAAAAAGGAAAAAAACACTTCACAAAGCCTGTCTGTCTTCATACTCGCAGAAGCCATGTCACTCCAGCTTTGTACTGCCATTGAATAATTCCAGAATATTTAGCACTGAAACATAGACCTTGTGTAATATCTAAACCTTGTATACCACCTTAGTTATTGCAAAAATTGGGATGTTCTTGAAATGTGTTTTTGTTCAGGTCCTGGCACAGCCACTTGGACTTGTATTCCGAATTGCTGCATTAGCTGAATTCCCAGACCCTGACCTGCTTGAGGTTCATGCCTGGAGGGAGAGTTTCAGTGTGCCTTTTCTCAGAAAGAAAAGGAAAAACAGAAAAATGTCTCAAATTCTCTCTTGCTGGACACTAATACTGGCAGGACAGTAAGAAAATGGGAGTAATACTGTTGCTCCAGTGCATTATTCCAGATGTGAACAGGAGGGAAAGCTATAAACAGGAAAATGTATTTTTGTCCACCAACTTTCTACTGTACCAAAATTCTTGGAGTGGGTACAAAATATACTTTATTCCTTGAACACGGCAAGGTTAAAATGTGCACTATTCTTTATTATAAGCTAAAAGAGCAGTATCACTCATCATTTAGTAAAATACCTCTCATAAGCGTTCTTTAGAAAGGAGAAATAATTCAAGAGCTTTTGTCATTTGTAGCATGGGATTTTAAAAGTTTTTTCCCTTTATACTATGAGTCATATGAAAAGAATGTCTCAACCAAAAAAAAGGAAAAAAAAAAAAAAAGCAGTGGGCAATACAGTTTAGATTGAAATTTAACATTTCAAAATAGCTAGAGAAATAACATTGAACTAACCAAGAGTTTTTCAGGATTTGAAAAATCTTTTGTAAAATCAGAGAAATGGTAAGCAAACCAAAATTAAATGGCTCCTTGCAGGCTCACTTGTTTTGATGATATATAAAGAAATGCTTTTACATACTGTTTATTAAACTTGCAGGACTAAAATCTTAACTCTCTCATTTCTGACTGAGAACCAAAGCCTCTATAATTTGCCCTATAAAAGAACAGCAACAGAAACCCCTGAACATCACATTTCAGAGTTAAAAACTGTCATTGCCTCTTCCAGCCACATAACTTAAATGAGGGAACTAAGGAAATGCAAAGGAAAACTGCATTGTCATACATTGTTAAGCAATAATAAAATAATGTGCCACTGCTCCATAAAAAGGTGCCAAAGGGAAGCTTTTTTTTCTTTTGCTGTTTCCCTGCTTTGAGATTCATGGGGGCATATTTGTTCCCTGTTTAGAACCTAAATGAATGTGTTTTGCAGAAGGGAACTGTAATGGTGTTGGGAAAATGGTGTTTCAGTTCAGAGTTGCAGCAGAGTCCCCCCACAGCCATTAACACTTTCTGAGCAACTGGTACCAGCTCAGTTTTTGTTTGTAACTGAAGTATGCCATGAACAAGCTTCACCAGGCATGCTTCAGCTAGTCTTCTGCCCATCCTCAAATCCTTCCTTTACAGCATGGTAAAATTAGGAGGAATGCTAGCTGTTCGTGAATATACTGGCCTGGCTTTCTTCTTTCTGATTCTTTGTGTAATGTAAGTGTGGCTTCTGGGGCTTTCTCCAGCCATCAGATTCAGTCCTTTCTCCAGAACAACCAAAAAAGAGCTACTGTGTGCTACTGTTGATGTTTGAGCTATGCAAAACATAGGTGAAACCTACAATAAAAGAACACAAAACAATTTCCCACTCCCTTGGATACCAGCTATGTAGTTGAATAGGTAAGTTACTTGGTCTTTTATGGGTAATATTAGTTAATAAATTTATAGATAAATTAATTAGGAGATGGGAAGTTAAATTTGGAAAAAATGCGAAGGTAAACTCGCTACATATATTTCAGTAATGTAGTCTGCCTGCCTTGAATATTTTTCCTGCCTTGCAGTGTGCATGGTAATGTGCAAGAATAGATTCCTATACCTGTGCATGAATTTTAGAAGTCAGTAGTCTTCAAGCATGATACAGACTTTTAAGAATACCTCAATCCACAAAGATGCTGAAATAAAATGGATTTAAATCTGGCATTGCTTTTGTCCACAGGGTAAAACATCAAGTGGAATACTTAGGTCTGAAAGAAAATATTCGAGTAAGAAGAGCCGGCTATGCCTACAGGCGGGTTTTCAAGAAGTTTCTGCAGAGGTAGGGTAATGCTAATTTTGAAGTATTACAGCACGGTTGTTTCCATGATGAGGAGGAAATCAAGAAGTCGCAAGTTTTGAAAGCATCTCGTTTCCCACTTGCCCTTTCCTTTTTCCCCATTTACCTTGCTTACAATCTAGGTTACACAGGGATTTGAAAGCGTCTTAAAGGCTGGCTTTGTGTCTTTGAAAGTCTTTTCATTTTTCTGTAAACTTGCCTCAGTTCTTTTTGTAGTGCTATGAGGCGGTTCCTCAAAGAGTTATGGGAACTTTGAGTTATGAGCTGCAGAGCCTGGAATCTGAGAGTCTAGCTGCTAGCCTTTGTTTAAAATGTTACTGCTCTAGCTCTCCCAAGGACAGAAGATAAGTGAAGAAATGCATGCCTGCCATTCAAGTGTAAAGAGTAACGTTAGCTTAAATTGCTCTTTATATCCTCCCACTGGTGTTCAAACAGCTGGGAATGGTTACAACTCAAACCACTGCAGCTTGCTCAATGAAAGCAAGTCAGAGCTCTGTAAGGCCAATCCTTTTTTCAGTGTTTTAGGACTAGCTGTTAAGATGATTAACTACCTTCACTAGCTAATGAAATCCTCTTAAATAAGAGCAATTTCAAGATTTATACAACATTCAGCTTCTGGTTTTTTAGAAAAGTGAGACATGCAGCTAATAAATGCCTCAACTGGGGCATTACATGACAAATCAGCTTTTATTGGAAGTCTTGGTTCCTGTTCTCAAAGGTAACACAAAACCACCCAATCAGTTGTTGCAAGGAATGGAGTATAATTAATCAAACAGCATAGAACAAAGCCACTGATAATACTTCATGATAATGCAGAGAACATTGTAATCATCTAGTACTTGACAGACCTAAAATATCTTAAAGCATGGAGTCAGTTTTCATCATGGAACAATTTTAAATCCTTTTTTCTTCACAAACTTCAAGCCTGGACATAAACATGATGAATATGTTTCAGGTTGTATTACTTAACACAGACTGTTCCCGAGACAGAATAACAGATTAATAATGTGTATTAAATCTAGCCTCCACAGCTGTTGAACACCAATTGTGAGAACAGTGCAGGTCTAGAAATCTGCCTGAGGTCTGCACAAAGGAAAGCTGCATGGTACTTCTTGAAGGCAAATAGATTTCTATACTTCACTTTATATGTAGAGATCCACAGGCACCTGAAACCATTCTTTGTGGAATTCATGCGTTTCTTTCAAATAGTCTTGTTAACTTTAACATTTTGTTATGAGTAAAACTCTTCCTGCGACCTTTCCATTCGCAGTTCCCTAGCACCCAGAACAAGCTCTGTTCTGGCACCCTGAGTCAGTGTGAGTAGCAGTGGGCAGAGGCATGGGATGGACAGGAAATGCATGCTTGTACGCTTGTTTTCATTGGGAGTTCCTTGGCAGCTCCATATAAGTGGAGATTTCTGGGCTGAATAGACTTTTATGTACAAAATTTACATTTGCATGCAAAAAGCCACAGTCACTGAAAAGGCCTATGTGTTTCAAACCATAACCAATCTGAAAGCTGAACTCCATGCTCCCATATTTAGACTTAGGACCTAACTGCTTACTGTGAATTTATAATGATAATTTTTTGGGGGGAGTCATGATTTGAAATTGTTTCAGAAGCATTTTAAGAACACAGTATTTGTGCCAAAACCCTCTGTAAGATCAAATTACATAAGCTGGAAAAACCTAGATACAAGGATATTGATGAGTGGTTCAGTAGGAAGCATGTGCAAGAGCATTAGAGGGAAGTGCTGTTTCTAAATAGCGGTGAACAATGACAGAGTTGTCACATCACAAAATTGTGAAATGCTTAACTGGTGCACGTTACAGAATAATCTTACTTCTCCTGCCATGTAGACTTGTCACACCAGTAAAATGTATGAAGTTAATTTGAGTTTATGAATTTCAAACATATTCTTATCTTGTACCCAAGAGTATTAGTTATATTAAAAAGTCTTTAAGTCTGGTTTTTCCCTCCTTTGCAGCTCAGATGTAGGAAAGAATTTATAACATGCTGAAATGTAGTGTCAAATTCTGTTGTATGGAAGGTAGCAGTTTGAAATGCCTTTATTAACATCAGCTCCTTTAAATTCAGACTTGCTTAGACCCATCTATACAACTATACTGTTGGCAGTACATGATGAACCTGCAAAAGAGGCTGTTGATTAAATAAGCTGGGAGTTACTTTAACTTACAACTCCTTACTAGGTTGCATCTATTTATCCCATAATGCTGATAGATTACATAAATATATATATTTAACACTATGTAACACTTATAAGTGTTAGATTACATAAATATATAAGTTGTCTATAAACACGGATGATGTATAATATACTTGTATATATAAGATGGTATAAGAGCTATTTTGTTACACCATCATGCATAGTACCTGAGCATTTGTTAACTAATAATAAATTTGAACATAATATCAGTAGACCCTTCTGAGTCCTACTGAATTATTCCTAAGGTAGCTTTCTCTCTCCATATACTTGCTATTCATAGATGTTTTGTTTTTCTGATACGTTCCTTTTTAATTGTTTGCTATTTTTCTTTGTGTGGCACTGTTACTTAAGTTACGTGACACTGTTTCTGCTTTCTGGCTGGATAACATTTTAGCTATGACAAGAATGAGTAATGTTCCCTTAATGAACTTTCTAACAATTCCTTGTGTGATTTTTGGCAACATTTTATTAGGAGCTGCCTAAATCTTCTCAAGAAACAAGAACTTGGAATTGCAACAAACTGAACTCCATACTTCATCACTTTTTTCATTAGTTGAATAGTTTTACTAATAAGCATGATTTAGTTTATGTAATTCAGTATGCTTAAGGCATTAAAAAAATTGTCAAGACTAAAGAACATAAAAGATTTGGGGTAGAGATTTGTCACAAAGTATTTAGCTGTTCTCCAGTCTCATTGTCAGAGGAGTCTAAATAGCTGCTGCTTGAGAAGTTGCTTATCCATAGACATGCTGAGGCAGCTAAAACCCACCAGTGCTCCTTGGTGGGCAGTGGAACAAGGCAGCTTTGTAACTCCAACCTGGCAGTTCCAAAAGCCCAAGTTAAGCCTGAAAATGTGGACAGTTTAAAAAGGGCTGCAACCTGGCATCTGTCTCATTTTCAAGGTTTAAAGAGAATACCATGAGACAGAGGACGACTCACCTCTTCCTATCAAAGACATGGTATTGTAGCCCTTCCCTAGTTCCCAGCATTCCCTCCGTGTTGCACCAATGTTGCTCTATCTTCCCTCTTGTACCAGAGACCAAGCCAAAGGCTTTCTGGGATAAAGCCAAGAGTAGCTCCTTGCTAAACACTGAATGCCCACCTGTGGAACAAGTGGGTTAAGAGCATGAGCTGGCCACTTGCTTAGAAACACAAAAGGCCTTTTTAAGAATAAGACAGAGAAGGCTTGAGAGGGAAATTGGCCACATGCTTGGGAATGAATCTAGAATACCAAGGGTGTAGGTACTTAGATCTGGACCAGAAGTCATTGCTAATAAATAACCTTGCCCTGGACTTAAGGAGATCACAGCAGAACTTTCTGTACTTAACTACTGCAGTTACTTAGCATCTGGAAACAGGAGACTCCTGGACACTGTTGCACTTCTCTTTGTAGTTGTTTGGTCTTGCTAAACAAGTAACACCTTAATACTGTGCATCTTCCCACACTCCAAGCTTCTGTAAGTTCTGCCAAAACTGTCAGCCCTCCCCCCAGGGTAATACTGACTAAGAGTCAGTGGTATTCTGCTGCTGTTTGATGTCTGGTTTTATTTAATCTCTTCTCCTTGGTGGTTAAGGTACGCCATTCTGACCAAAGCAACCTGGCCTTCCTGGAAAGGAGAAGAGAAACAAGGAGTTCTCCACCTGCTTCAGTCAGTGAACATGGATTCCGACCAATACCAGCTTGGGAAATCCAAAGTCTTCATCAAAGCTCCAGAGTCTGTAAGTGTGGCAGAACACAAGTCTTTAAATAGAGAAACTGTTTTGCTGAAATAAAAGGTCTGCCCACTCAAGTTCAGCGTGATATATCTGCTAAGGTGGGAGAAGCATAATAACTAAGTCGAGCTGGGCAGGTCGGTCACAGGTGCCTTGAGGCTGTACAGGGATTCTGGGCTCTTTTATAACAGGCACAGTACATAAGGACCCTGTGTGATTTTGACACTAACACAAGGACCATTAAGCGCATCTAGAAGAGGAGATGGGATATGAAGATGCTTTAGTGTCAGGTTGTTCATCGTGACATTCTGTCAGAGAATATGTCATATGAAGGAGTATCATGGCATGAAAATACATCTATGACTGTTAGCCCAATAAAATAGGTCCTTTTCTCAGTACAAGAACTACTGATGAAAGTAGAATAGCCCCCAGTTATAGTAAAGATATGTTACGCGTCATTGAGTAAATCAATATTCCAGAACGACTGCAACTTGAAATCCCATTCAAAGAGAACATTAGGGAGGCATCATAAGGCTGTTTTTATCCTGTGGCTGCTAAACTGCACAAAATCTGTTGGAAAAAAGTTTTCTTACATCACTGTTCAGGAAAGTTGTCACAGAAAAATCTACACTCTACTCGCCATCCTGTATTCCTTATTTACCAGAAGCAATTGGGCTTAGTTTGTATAGCATACCTTGCAGTTGAGCATTAGGTGGTTTCTTAGTGCTTTACTTGAAATTACATGTCAAAAGCAGAACACTTCTATTGCTATCATTTTCTTTTCCAGAAACATACTTTTGCTCTGTAGGGCAACAGTAATTCAGGGAATAACACTGCTGTGCCCAATCACTTTATAAGATCGCTGTTAAAGGAAAAAAGATAATATTTCTCCAAGTTGTAATAGAAATCATGTTGTTTCTACCATAAATAGGGTAAGATAATACCATCTCTGTTCAGGAATAATGGGACTTCACATTCCTATTTATATAATAAAGCATCTAGCGTTCAAGATGTAGGTTATTAGAATACTTAGGTGCATGTTGACAGAGCAGGAAATTCTAGTATACAGTTAATCCTACTTAGTCATTGCAAGCAACACCTTAGCTCGCCAGTTACGAGGAACTGTGGCTTTGTCTGCCTTCCTCTGTAGCACAGGCTGTGATTTATTTCCTAAGATTATTGGGGAGCTGTCTTACAAAGTCAGCGCGATAGTCTTGGACATTAATAGATGTCTTTGTCTCTTCTTGTGACATTACAGTTGTGACTTTTAGTACTTTACTGATGACCTCCAGTTTTATTATACGGTAGTGGCGAGTACACATTCTGGTTAAGTATCTATTTGAATTAATACAGACAACTTAGTTGCTGTAATTGCAAGGGACTAGAATTGGTAATTTAAGCAACATCTTTCAGTCCTGTGTTCATTATCTTACACTGTAGCAAACCCGATTTTCTTGTTTTCACTGTGCAATTATTGTGCATCCATGCTTTTCACTGCAGTTAGTTACAAACCAAAGGCAAACTCAGTTTGGGAGATAAACAATTAAGGGAAGAAACCAAAACAATTCTTCTGTTTAATAGCCAAGTGGCAAGTGCTCACATAGGATTCATGGATCTAGTTTCCCTTCACTCTGAAGTGGCGAATACGTTAACATTTGGTACCCCAACACCACATGCTACTAGGTTGTTTCCGAGAGGAACAAATTGTTTTCTAATTGATGCATCTTTCCATTCTAATGCATTTGTGTAATACTAAGTCCTGGTTGCACATATATACCATTTAATGGCACGTCTGAGTTTTACTGAAGGGCAGTTCTGCAGGTTAAGACAACATGAGGTTGACTAGAAATAGTAAAACTTTTTTGCCTTGCATTTTCATTTTAATTTAAAATAAAGCTTTCAATTACTGTGTATGTTTTCTTTAAAAAAAATCATTTTTTGAAAAGCCATGAAATCCATTTTTAAACAAGTACTAAAAATAGTCTGGGTTTTTTTCATTTGAAATACAAAAAATTTTCTGTGAGCTGAATATTCTAAAGTTTGATTTATATCTTTTAGTATCAAAGACAGTCATGTCGTCTTATATTACTAAAGTATTGGCTATATATTGCTTTTGAGAAAAATAATCTTTTAGATGGTAAGTGAAAATTTTTCTTTCTATCAAAGAGAGCACCTTTTGTGGTTCATCAGGTGAAAAATACTTGATCTGCTCAGGAGTGTGAGGGGAGGCTTTATAATACGTATTTTAGGAAAGAATTTATGCAGCATTTTTGTTTTATAAATTAAGAGTCATATTTTAACTCAGTGTTTTCATTGAACTTCCTTAATTGTGACCTTCAACTGCAGGTGATAGACTATTTTGCATTGAGATATTGCAATTAGGATTATTGTTAGAGAAATTAATGATGAGTGTTCACAAGAGACAACATCAATATTGTTACTGTAACCTGAATCGCATGAGGGCTTGATCCTGCTCCTGCTAAAGCTGAGGAAGTTTTTGCAGCAGGAGCACTCAGGCCTGTATGCCGAAACCCTATCTAGTGTTTGTGTGGTTGTGAAGAGAGATTTTAATTTTTTTTTTTAAACAAGTTTGCTGTAGATGGAGAGTTGCCAACTGTGAAATAAGATTTTATGGGTGGCAGAAAGGAGGCTTCATTATTTACATTTCCATCAAACACCTGAATAAATAACTCTGTACAAGAGCGAGTGAGGTTCTGCGGAAATGGTTTGCACTAGATCAAGTTTCCTTTTTAAGATCAATATGAACAACAGTATTTTTCTAGTTTTGCGTGGTTTAGGGCAGCAAATTAAAAAAAGAATCCTTAAGCCCAGGTTTCTTTCTTGATATACCTGTTTTTACTAATGTTATCTCTTTTGAAAGCTAGAAGAAAAGTCCTTATGAATATTTAACACACGGTACAAGGAAATAAGAAGCAACAATCACGTCAGTGGACTGGTTTAGTACTGTAATTGTTAGCCAAATGCTTGTGCTTCTGATGAGACAAAACATTTAACTAAACTTTAAAGTATGTAAAAGGCTATATCCTACAATGATTATGAAGTTGCTCTAATGGACCAAATTTACGTATATTTTAGTGGGATTCTCAAAAAAGGTGATGCACCTTCCATTTCTGTTTTGATAAATCAGCATTTACTCTTGAATTCTGACAACATTAGACCCAAAAATCTTATGTCATCTTGAAATACAAGATCATAGTTATAAATCCTGCAGCTGGCTGACAGACTTCACTGCTGGGAAAGAATGGAGCCAATGGACATGCGTGTATGAAATTCAGACAGGGAAGAAAGTTGCATGTGAATACAGAGCGTTACATTACACATTGCACAGATCCCCATAGACATGGCAATATTCTGTCAAGCGAAATGTCAATTCTGATTTGCACCAGTGGAATATATCAGGGAGAATCCATATTTCTCTTCCTTCATCATTGGGTATCAAGATTAGTAGGTAGACTGGTAAGAGCCAGAACCACTCAATCATCAGAGATTTCTTCCAAAAAAGTTTACCTTAATATTCTGATCTCAGATCCCATAGTTGTGGTAGAGCTTGGATCTAGAGTGAAATGCACTGGAAAGTTGTTGAAAGTAAAATACGGCTTTTTCTTGAACTTCTCACGTGAAATGTTTGACCTGCTCTACTGTTTCTTTGTACAGCTATTTTTGTTAGAAGAGATGAGAGAGAGGAAATATGATGGGTATGCCAGGGCCATCCAGAAGGCATGGAGGAAGTACGTGGCCAGGAAAAAATACGTGCAGATGAGAGAAGAAGGTAGGTCGTAACTTCTGGTGACAGATATTTCACACACGGTTCCAGGAACAGAAAGAGTGCCACAGGATGAAGGAAACATCTCCTTCTCTATAGAGCAAACCGTTGCATTGCACGACTGCAAATTATTGGACCCCTAAGGTACCACTGATGCGGTTGGCTGATCTGCATGCATGGATTTCTTGGACTACCCAATGTTTTGCTCTCAGAACAAAGGCAGAGCAAGTAGGACAGAGATCAGGGATGTTCCAGGGGAAGTGAAAAAGGAAAAGCTTCCCACAGTTATACAGGACCTCGATGGTCTGTAGATGACAGAAATCAATCCAAGGACTGTAATGCTTAGTTGCATGTGTGACCCGGGTTACATGAATGAACAACATTCTGCATTTGGGAGAGCTAATCCTTAATTTCCAGCAATGAGTGAGAAATTCCTTACTTCCAGAAGTGCTCCCAATTCATCAGAGCTGCTGAGCTTGCCATCAGTGTATTTCATTAGGAATGGATTTTAAATCACATGGATTCTTATCTAAAGGATTAGTAGCAGTGCTTCATTATTTTTTTGCATATTATAAACAATTTGGTTATCACTTCTTCCCAAAGAGTTCTGCTTGAAACAGCTCTTTCAGATCATGAGTTTAGAAAATTCAGTAAATACTATTAATCAATGTTTATTTTTTGTATTTAAGCATCAGATCTATTGCTGAACAAGAAAGAGAGAAGACGAAACAGCATTAACAGAAATTTTGTGGGAGATTACATAGGCATGGAGGACCATCCAGAGCTACGCCAGTTTGTGGGCAAACGGGAGAAGATTGATTTTGCAGACACTGTAACTAAGTATGATAGACGGTTCAAGGTAGGTTTAAGAGCAACATCCACTAATGATTAGTTCTGCTAGGGAGTTACAGATGTCTTTGCTATCCTTTAACAGAAATTCCACCATGTTAGTGTCCATCTAGGATACCAGCTTGAAAAAAGTGTCTTTGACCTAAAAGACACATAGGGATGCAGTTACACCCTTGTGACTGGAACACTGCCATTGTCAAACCCGTTGTCCCAGGAGGAAGGGTTTATGGGACTTGCTGGGCACAAAGTGACATTAGTTAGGAGACGAGGAACAAAGCTACTTTCCTGTGCTGTGCAATCTGACTCTGAGGTAATGTGATTTTCACTTGAACCAAAGAGTAACAGTATCACCCCAAATCATAGTACATTATATATCTTTGGAACAGCATCACAACATCAGTGCACTGATCTCCACATAGCTGTGTATTTTCAAACAATTTTGCATTTCAGAGCGTGAAGCGAGATCTTGTCCTCACTCCAAAGTGCATATACCTGATTGGGCGTGAAAAGATAAAGCAAGGTCCAGAGAAGGGCCAAGTGAAGGAAGTCTTAAAGCGAAGGATGGAAGTGGAGAGAATTCTTTCCGTTTCTCTAAGGTCAGTACCTTCAAAGCATCTTTCCACTGACAGAGAAATTTGTGCAGAACAGGGGGGAAATAAGTTGATTGATGAAGGGTGAATTTCTTAAACTGTATTAATTGAATCTTGTAAACAAGGAAGCCGAGGTCTTATTTTCACTCCCAGCCCTAAGTGTGTTCCAGCAATAGAGGTTTATGTTTATAGCCAATACACATACATTTTCTGAATAGTTGTTAAAACGTGTCGCTTACACTGGGTCCCATGAATCTGATGTGTCCCCCAAAATGTATTCTGGGAAACCATGTGTATATATATATGTGTTCATTCACCATGCAGGTTCTAGTGAGTTCTGGCTCAAGCTTGTACCCCAGAAATAATTCTTACTTACAGAAGTACACCTTGCACGTGTCCACTGCTTCCTAAGGGGGCATTCTTTCTCTGGTCAGCTACCAAAAATCTCTGTTTCGAGTTGGATTTCACATCATTTCTGGTGACTGAATGTCAGGCCTATCCCAGATTCTAGGAAGTATCTGAGGTGTGCACACAGAGCTGAGAATCCCAGTTAGGTGAGCAAAACCAGGAGGAAACTGCCCATGAGACCAGTGGATTCTTGCCTGTATCATTTCATTCCTTTGAAGATGAGTGAACAAAGTCTCTGGATACCTCTGCATTTATTACTGCAGTTTATCAGAAGTGTAGCTGAGTGTAATTTAATACAAAAGAATATCCACCCAGGGCAACAAGCATACTTTAAATATTGACATAAATTATTATTTAAACGGAATGCAAGTCTACAGTTGAGTACTGTGTATTGATAGCTACTGCAAAGGTTTTTTAGTGTGCGCTTATAAAACATTCCCATTAACATAGCCAGAAATCTTCTCACAGACATTGTCCAAGACTTGAAAACAGCAGATTTCACATTTTTGCAGAATTCTTCACAGCCATTTCAAGACTGGGGGAAGGTCTGCAAGATGTGTCTGCTCACAGTACCATTTGCAAAACCTGTGGTTTGTTTATCATACATCTATATAATGAAGGTTGCAACAAAAATAACTGTAGTAGATCTAGGTTAAAGATGAGAGTGGAACCTATCTTTTTAGTGCCCCCAGTTTGGACCATGTGCTGTGCAAACCTCAAACAGATTGCACCAGCCGCTTGAACCGGGCCAGCACATTCCAGAGACAGTCACACCAAGTCAGTTAAGAGGATGGCTGCCTGCCAAGTTGGTGAAAGCTGTTACGGTCCTCTCACATGTAAATAACAGTTCCCCAGAGCTTTCTGAAGCAAAACCAAGTGTGCTTAGTTCAGAGGAAATATGTATGTGACATTATGTCCAATAATGTTTTGAACTTATCTTACTGATTTCATTTTGTTGTAAAAAACATTGGGTTTTGTTTATGCTAAAAGTAGATCCAGAATTACAAGCTATCAAACTGTCCAGATATCACTCCAAAAGCAAACCCTAAAAAATACATAGGGGCAAGAGGGCTTTTCCCTGTTACTATGCTAGAATGGCCCAAGTTCGTAATGGGTCTTAATCAAGGGATCTCTTAGGTCTGTATTGAAGAGGCTTAGTGGTAATGTAATGCTCTGGCTGCAGAGGCTGTAAAAGTTAAGATTATCTCAGATTTGAGAGAAGCAGTGTCTCAGTGACAAGAGTTAGCACTTGTAATATTTAAGTCTTCAATTAATAAAACTAGAGCAAAACCTTTATTTAGTACATGTATTACATGCTACACTGATGAGCTTATCCAGCATAGATTTAGCTCTAATTCTGTATTGCAGCCTCAGTTTTATACATGCCAATATTAATTTTTAGCAAAATCAATACAAAATGAAATATATTTTAAATGGAAGGGGGAGAGAGGATAACTGGATTCTTGAATTGCTATCTAAACAGCGTATCTTAAGAGACCCATGCGCAATATATTGATGTAAGCTTGTATCGATACACTTACACACAATGAAGGCAGAATAATCAGCACTATTAACAGCAATTAACACTACATAGCAATTTCAATCACTAAAGGAGTTGCAATTTAAAGTGCAAATGTCCAACTTCGAATTTGTTCAGGGTACTGAGAATGACAACTCATAGTCTCATGGAAATGTTCTTGCGCTTTTAGTAATAATAAATAACTGAGCTTTATAACTCATCTGATAAGTAGTGACACAGGACATCTTAACAGCATTGTGAAGTCAGACTCTTTGCCAAATCAGCAACAGTAGTACCACTGACTGAATAATATTTACTGCAGGTCTTGGGCTTTTCTTACACATCTTGTTCAGAACCTTGCTGAGGCTCTATATTTGCTTGATGGTAAGAAAAGAGGTCATGTTCTTACTCTATTTTATAGATTTCTTATGGCTATATTGAATGCTAATTAGGTAAGCTTGTAGTTTCATACACCCTTTTCCAAACTATGGGAAAGACTTCAGAATTTTAAAGACAATTATGAAGCACACAGGTGGTAGGCAGATTTTTAGAAAAACAGGCAGCAATACAACTCATCCTTTACCTAATGTCTCAGCGGTTTAGAATTGTATTTTTATACCTGACAGTGAAGAGCACCTCTAGCAGTACTATGAAGCTATTTTTAATTCTGCGTGCAAAGGTACTTACAGTCTGTAGAGGAGTCATAGCCTTCAGTAACCAGATGAAAAGCGGGGGTCAGAAAGCCAGGCCTGCTCCCCCTGTTCAGATTTATAGAGTCAGCAATCAGCAAACCAGCTGGGGGAGGAAAAGGGAGGAGCATGCTCCAAGTGAAACGTTGTTGATTGCTAGGTAATTAGGATCAGAAAACAGTAATGAGGGCAAATAGACCTGATTTTGTCTCTGATAGGAGGTGGAGGCTTTTTCTTCGAGTTCCTTATGTGCTGTAATTAATTAATTTACTTTTGGAGTTACTCTGGAATGTTGAAGCAATACTTACATAGATTTAGGTGAGATATCAGCACCTTTGTGTGATGTATTGCTATGCAAACCATTGAAAGAAGCTCTTTCTTAGTGATAGGTATGTAGCTTTGGCTTGACCTTCATCTGCCTGGTTTTCCACAGCCTTAACCACTGCAATGCAGGTGTTCACACTTCTGAGTTACATATGCTGTTTTTCAGAAAAAAAGATGAAAACTCATAATGAATGTTAATTCTAAATCCAACAGGATTTGAAAGGTCCGTTTCTCCAGCGAGAAAGGTTAAGCAGTTCTCAGCTCTGCACAGTTGTCAAAAGTCCTGTGCTGTCTCTTCTCCCAGCCACACGTTAGCTAGCACCCAGGTGGCTGTGTGGGGATATGGATGACACACTGAAAACTAAGGGAAGCAGAAAATTAATCTACCAGGGAAGGGCAGAGGGTGGATTCTAGCATGAGGGAAGGAGCAGAACTGTGGTGAATAAAAAGGGTGAGGGGCAGAGGGAAGGCTGCCCTTTCTGACAGCACAACAATGTTAACTTGATTTAAACTGGTTATGAAATCACACATCTCTTGTCACTTCTAACCCACACTCTCCACTTCGGGGGCTGCCCAAGGGGCAGTCTCCTCTCTCTGTCATTACGCTCCCACCATTTTCTTGTGTCTGAGCTAGCGTTGCACTCCCACGCTGTGACCTGGTTCTGTACGCTCATCCTGTGGGATGATAACCAGCTTCAAAATACAGTGCTTTTACTGTAGGATCAGCAAACTGACCCCGAGCATCTTCTGGTTGCTTATATGCTATTCAAGCCAAGAAGTAAGGGGGGACCCATGGCCTCAATTTTCAGGTCTTAATGTTTTATTTGGAAAGCTTAGACCTCTTTGTAGAGAGGATGCCGGAGAAGACAAGCACCAATGTAGTTATAGCTAGGAAGAATGCCAACATGGTGTTAAAAGGAAGAACGATACACATATAAACAAATTACAAGCATGCTGGAACAACAGTAATCCTGGTTAGGATGTGGCAGAACTGTTTTTACTGTGGGCATTCTGGAAGGGCAGATCAGCCTTGCAAAGTACTGATGTGGATATCATTTTCTGTGAAGTGGTTTGCAGCATCTTCAGCAGGTGTAAAGAGGAGTTGATCCAAAGGTGGCAATGGAACCCAACATGTGTGGGTTTTATACTGTGCTAAACCCGTCCCAGCTAAAGCCAATGGAAAGTTGAAAGCTTTCATTCCAAATTTGCTTGCTTTGGGTTTCAGTCTTTCTTTAGTTACCTTCAAGTTTCCAGTTCACCGCTAATCACAAGTTTTGCCATTATTGAAGAGATGGGCTTTAATTGTAACTTTAATAGCACATGTTCTTTTGATAACAGTAACTACTGAAAATGACTAAGTAGCATTCCTGTGTCTCAAAAAGGATTGTTTCAGATATTTCACTATCAACTCCTGAAAAAAACCTGAACCTGGTCTCAGAAAGCAAGACTGTAATTAACACTGCTTGGACTTTCTTAAGTTTTTAAAAATTAACCATGAGTACTCTGCAAATGTCATTATAATGCTGGCTGTATTTGCTGATGAAATTTTAATCTGAATGGTATATGCTCTGATTTCTTTTCAGCACAATGCAGGATGACATTTTCATTCTGCATGAACAGGAATATGATAGTTTGCTTGAATCAGTCTTTAAAACTGAGTTCTTGAGCCTCTTATCAAAACGATACGAAGAGAAAACACAAAGAAAACTACCTCTGAAATTTAGCAATACGTGAGTTACGTTTTTCTTCAGTGGTCTTTAAGAATAAATAATCTTTGTTCTTGCTGCCAGGGTAAATGAGTGAGTGCTAGTTGTGAGACTATGCTTTGTTTTACAATAGTAAGAGGCAGCACAGTGTAAAAATCTCTATCTGCAAGGGGGCTGGACTTTCTGATTAGCTCATCTGAGTAACAGGTTATGCTTGTACCTGGGCCATTCGCCACTTTCCACTGTCTGTCTGCATAGAAGAGTTACCTTCATGCCACTGAACACGGCATCAGGCTCAAGGGTCTGCAGCTTTGTGCTACAGAGCGGCTCTGTCCCCGCAGCAAGGGCCCGGCCAGTCACTGCATGATTCGTCTGCAGCCATAGTGCAAGCTCTTCATCCCTGTGCTGGCTGCTGGTTCCTATCAGGAGAAAGGACTGTCCTCTTCCAGCTCCTTAACCTTGACCTAGGAGTGGAAACATCATGACATGAGTTTGAAAGACAATTCCGGAGACAGAATGTAACAATCTGAAATTCTGAAGTTTGTTGTGGGGACGGAGGACTGCAGGGTGAGAGGATAATTCTAAAGGAGCCTCATGAAGTAAATAATAGTGGGAACATTTTTTAGACACTAGCCTGAAAAGCTACAGAATGTGTGATGTCCATTTTAGCTGTAAGGACATGCTGGAAACGATCCCAACAAACATGTGCTTTTGTTAATACTCCTACCCATTAAGGAGATTAGCCTCAGCAGGCCTTGGATTTGTATGTTTATTATTTCCTTCGAAAAAGTGGAAGAATTATAAAAGGTAACAGGAGATTATTATTTTTGTTTGGAAAGGGTGTAGGAGGACAATTGAAGTGTGGAACATTCCTGTAGTGTGTACTCCTGTAGGCTGGCAATCCAGAGCCAGTACCAGGAGCACATTTTTTGTTCCTGTAAGACGTAATGTAATGTACTTCCGGCGTCCTGCCCAAAACCAAACTGTACCTTCCTTAGCTTACATCTGGTTACAGTACAGAGCAGATGGAGAGTCTGGAAATGCTGGGAAAGAATATATATATGTGTGTCCGTGCACATGGAAAAAAAATCAAATGGGAAAGACTGAAGTATATGTATGCAAAAATGTTTACTCCCAGAACATGCACAAGGCCCATTCCTAAAGCATATATTGGCATATACATGCCAATGTATATCTACATATATACATCTAATGTATATATACATCTAATGGTATATACAGAAGAATGTTTAGGAACAGAGCGTTCTAGCTTGTTCCAGCAGAGTCTGCTGCAGAGGCAGTGATGTTTGATGGCAGATACATCTCTTACTCACACCTTTGCATGTGTTTCCTCAAAGCTTGCTGCACTCTCCATCCTCTCCAGGGCATCTTAAGCTTCCTTTGAGTAGCTCTACCAGGAAAGTTAAAACATCAATTAAGAACATTTTAAAAAGCATGAAAAAGAGATTTCATTAGGTGGATTATGTCAGCTAAGTCACTCAGGGAATACAGATTCTCAGTCCAAGCTTTAGTTTTCTATTTCTAAGTTATCTGCTCCCAAGTAATATTGTCCTGATTTGACATAGAAATGCTTTCTGTTTTTTTAATTCATGTGTTCATGTGCTTATATTAGACTTGAAGTGAAGCTGAAGAAGGAGAGCTGGGGGCCCTGGAGCAGTGCTGGTTCTCGACAAGTGCAATTTATGCAAGGCCAGGGAGATATAGCCATTCTCAAGCCAAGTAATAAAGTGCTGCAGATCAGCATCGGACCAGGGCTACCAAAGAACTCCCGTAAGTATGAATTTCCTTTAGAAATTAGAGAATGGTTTAGAAATTTAGAGAACAGTTGACTCTTACTCTCCTTGCTTGCCTCTAGCCTCAGCATGTTCTTTATTATTTCTCTGTAACACTTAAAAAGAAGATCCAAGTTATAGATTGTAATGATACGGCAGAATTCCCTGCCACTCTACAGTCGTGTTGGAATTTTGTTGCTTTTGCTGTTTCTGAAATGTCTGAAATTCTTTGCCCTGCAGCAAAAGAAATGAGGGCATTTAATCATGTGACATAGTACAAATGACACAATTAGCCACGCATTTTGGGGAAGAGTCTTTCACTCTGCTCTGAGCTCCTGCAGTTCCTACGGCCTTTCTGATGAAGGAAGGTGTCATCAGGACAGGACAGGTTGTGATATGAGGAAAGGTAACCTCTGTGCATCACCAAAGGTTGAGCTACAAATACACCAGCCTCTCAGGTTTCGTCTCCTACCTTTCTCTCATACTAGTTGCTGATCAGAAACAGGATGGTCAAAAGTACTGCTGTGCCAGCTATGCATGGTTTATAATAAGTTCATAAAGCTAACGGTCTTTTGGGCCTCATTTACTGTAGTCTTGAGACAACTCTACTTTATATCCTGTGGCTGAACTGGATCACAAAAGGGACAATATGCCTAATTCATCCTTGTTGCACCTAAAGCTTCAGCGCAACCTGGCCAGCACTGCAGGAGTCAGATTCATTATTCCTGAAGACCAGCTCTTTCTGATCACAGAGTAGGGGTCTGGCAGCCAGAAGGACTTCCCTAATTAATGTAACTGTGAAAGGGTAACAAAATATTCCTGGTTTCTTTTAGGTCCCACTAGACGGAACGTTACCCAAAGTAGAGGATATTCCAACAGGTCTCAAAGTCAGACTTACCCTATGAGAGCTGCCCCGCCTCCTCCTGGTAAGTCCTCTTAGCCTCAGGCAAAACCAAAATTCCAGATTCAGGCATTTGCTTTTTGCTCTTGTCATCTGGTGATTTTTACCTGTTAAAAAATCATAGTAAAGGTCTAAAATCCTCTTTAAAAGATACTGTCTGGAAAATATACATTGTAGGCATTTTCTGAAGTGTGTTGTTGGAGTCTGCAGACAATCAATCAAATTCCACCAGAGATACCCTGGTTGTCATGGACACAGGCATGTTCAGCCACTTGGTATAAGACACTGAGTCCAAAACTAACCCTGTAGCCTTCTCCACGTTCCTGTGAGGGTAAAAGCTATATACTTACCAAGCCATAGACAATGCTTTGCAATGAAATGGCTTTCAGTGCCAATAAACAATAGAAATGCCATTTATGTCTCATTGTCCTGCCCTGTTAGGGAACAACTTTTGTGGATACTGAATGCTGAGATGCATCAGCTGTGCCAGTAAGCAGCATGGCTTTTTCTGCATGGGACTGATGTCATTAGGGTGTTTCACTTCTGCCCTTGAGAGATACGATTAATTTAGCCTGTGAACTCAGAGGGGAGAACAATAGTCCATTGACCCAACATTTCCCAAGCATTTTTTTTTTACTCCCAGAGTACTTTTTTTTAACAAAGGGTTCTCTTTCAGTCAGGTGCTGTTTATTGAGAAGCACAATGCTAATGGTGTAAGTCGGGTGTGCAGTCAGTCTCGGTCACCAAACTAACTAGACAATTCCCACTCCTACTAAAACCTTAAACCTGTTTGAGTCAAACTAAGACTGCATGATCTGCAAGAACTGCTTGTAGTAAAGTGGGAGATTACTGTAGTTAAAGGAATTGACCTGTCTGCAAACACAGATAGTAAATATTCATAGAGGATGAGTTAAAGCAAGGAAAGTCTGTTTTAATATATTCCAAAACTCTTTCGGCAGTTTCATAGCCATATGAAAAAGACAAAAGCATTGGCTGAAGAAGCCCTGTGCCTGCAGAGCAAGCCCAAACTTGCCACATGTAGGTAAGGTAGTTTGGATGTAGATGTGCACGCTAAGTCCAGGCAGCAGTGGATGCCCATACCTGCAGTATGGCCTTTTGTAACCATATATCCCCCAGTGCTTATGACAGCTCCTGACCAGACATGTCAACAGGGAGTCCTAATTAGAAGAACCTGACTCTGTATGCAGCAAGACACTGGGCTAACGGTCTGCATGGCTCTGATGTCATTAGGGTGTTTCACCTCTGCCCTACAGAGGAAAAATTAATTTAGGCTGTGAAGTCTAAGGAGAGAACAATATTCTGTTGACCCACCGCTTCCCACATGTTCAACTGTGGAGTTGAACTAGATGTTCACAGACCAGTGAAACCACACTGTTGCGTCCAGGTGCAGGATGAGTGTAACTAATGAAGTTAAATGATGGGTTGACCCTTATGCATTAGGGTACCATCTTTAAAAGATGAGTAGAAGACTTTCATACAGACCCCACATCAATTACCGTAACTTCTTTTGAGGTTTTTTTGGTTGGTGGTTTTTTTTTTTGATTCAACCTCTTTTGTAAAGTAGCCAGTTGTAGCTGGAAAAATAAGATTGAAGACAGCTGTTACAAAAGAGTTCCAGTTAGATTGTCCTGGCTTTCAAGGAGTCTGAGGCAATTGCATGATTTGGGCACATTCTTCCTTGAAAGTCACAATTCTCTCCATCCTGCTCTCCCAATGTGGGGAAGTAACACTGTGGGCCATTGTCCTTGATCGTGTGAAATGTAGTCTGGTATTTTCACATCTATTTTGAAATTAATGGTCCAGGAGCTGAATAGACTGTTATGCATCTGTTCAGAATAAAACAAACCTTTATTTATATAACCATAATGTATATGCCATACTAGCTTGGGTGCTAAAGTGAGTTTTATGTATGAGTTTATGACAACTTAAGCTCTGCCACAGTAGCAAGAGACTGCCAGAAGGAAAGACTAGCTGTTGCGTGCAGTTAAGGTTTTTCCAAGTGTCCCAATTATGTATTCTCTTCTCTGCACAGCTAGTCATTCTGCTAATTTTCAACAGGCATAATCACAAGGGAAAAAGGGGAGGATCACCTATAGCATTAACCAATCTGATTGTTAATATAAGCCTAGCTCCCGTTTTATTCGGGGGGGGAGGGAGGGTTAAGAATGTAAAGCATACAGAGTTGAGCTCCTTGGAGCCTGATCCTGCAAGTAGCTCAGAGATGGGTGGGTTTGGTTTAGATTCAAGTTAGAGGCCTAATTATTTAAAGGCATTTACCCTTGTCATCACCTAGAAAATTCAAATTCCTTTTAAACTATCAAAGTAGCACCAAGGCTTTTTTTTTTTTCAAAACAAAACAAAACAAAAATCCACAAAAAAAAGCCCTTGCTTGTTAAAACAGACAAATATTTATAGCAGCTTAAAAAACAGTCTACCCAGTATTCAGGGAGTTGGATGGAGTTTGAACTTTAAAAGAAAAAGAGACACCCTGCAATTCTAGTGAGCTTTAGATCAACCTTTATCTGGATAAAACTTTATGTGGTATTTTAAATAGAGGTGCGGCTGTGACATGCTAGCTAACATTAATAAGGTTAAATTCAGCTGAGAGCTAATCTTTTAGTTTGCCTGAAACATTCACGGCTCATGGCTCAAACTTGAGCACAAGCCAGGAAGACATGTACCCAAAACAGATTGCCAGCAGACGTGAAACTGTATAAATCAAACTTCAAGATTTCAACATTATTTTGGTTTTAAGTTCCTTGATAGCTGAGTCTCGCTGACAGCTAAATCTAACTGACAGCTGAGCCATCAACACAAGGAAAAGGTCAGCTTTATTGAGGTGTAGTTTAGACTGGATGTGTTCACGCTTTATTTACTCCTAGGTCAGCAGCAAAATGGAGTAATAAATCCCCCAGAGTTTGTACCACTTCCCCATGGCCCAGGAAATCAACGGGCCAATCAGAAAAACCTGTATACAAATATGACACGACCAACTTTACCACGGCAACTGTCAGGAGGATCAGGCAAGATTTCACAGCAACCAGAAAGCTTGGATTTCCTGAAAGTACCTGACCAAGGAGCAGCCGGGTAAGATTTTACAGTAAATCTGAAAAAGAAGTGTCAATTTTTGTAAATAGCTTCACACACTCAAACTATTCATCACTGATAAACTTATATTGTGTACATAGATGACCAGATTGTGCTGTTGCGCTGTACTCAAAGGTATCATCATCTTCCACAGGATTTCAAAACACATACTCCATCATAGGCCTTTAGGAATGAAGGTGAACCAGTTCTAGTCTAGTATCATAAATTTGCGTAGTACCTACCTTCTACTTAAGGATATTAAGACAGTTGGCAGAGTTCAGCTAGGCCATCTTTCCTTTCTGGTTTACAGATCGTGAACAGTAGATGTGGTATTTTATGGCAGCTAACATGCCCAGAAGTGCTGGCTAATATCCTTTTGTTTCAGCTTTGACTCCTGATTCAGGTATCGGACTTGTACTTCATTTTAGGAGGAAGGCTTGGCAGCATGACATTCAAGATTATTTCAGCATCATTTGGACTCCTAAGCTGCAGCCTTCCAGAATATGTTAGCATGACAATCCTACAAGATTTAGGGGTCGGTAGGTCTTACCATTGTGACTAGGTATTTCCCAATAGCCAAGAGTCACAAGCATCAAGACAATCACCAGAAACAGCAGAAAGACTGAACCAAGTAATCAGGGGCTTAGTAGAGAAAAGCAGAACAAGTTGTTCTTAACGCTGAAACCAGCAGCTCCAGCTCCTGACTGAAAATCCATAAGCAGGCAAAACCTCTGATTTGTGGAGCTCATGAAGACAGAAGTCTTCTGTCAAATACACATGGGACCTAAGTGCTCCATAATGTTAAAGGTCTTGAAAAACTTAAAATTTTATAATGACTGGAACAGTTTCTCCTTTAACTCAGCCCTTATATTCTACTCTCTTGTAGAACATTAGTGGAGCTTTGCTATAGTGGAATTGGAGTGCCAACAAGGAAAGTTACATTAGCAGACAGGACACAATTCTGTAGCCCACAGCTCTTCAAATAAACATACAGGATAAATACCTCCTTGTTAAGTAGGAAAGCCCTGCGTATGTTGAACAAGCCATCATTCTTACATCTCTGTCCAAATAACATTGAGAGAAAAAGCAAGAGGAAATTTGGACTTTTCCTGCTG